GGCAGAGGAAGATCATCTTAACAGTGCTTTAACCAAAAGTGGTGAAGATGGGTTTCTGCATTTGGAAACATTGGGATATCAGAAGCTGTTAGACTCCCATAAAGCGAAGGAAGAATCAGAACCCTTTGAGGAATTGAATGGACCAGCAACGGAGGTAATGGTAATGAGCGAAGAAGGGTCAACTCGAGTTCAACCTGCACTCTCGAGGACGTACTCAAGCAACCACTCGACCTTGTCTACCGACGAACCTAGGGAGCCGATCATTCCAACTTCAGATGACTGGTCTGAACTTAAGGCACCGAAGGTTGATCTCAAACCACTTCCAAAAGGTCTAAGGTACGCATTCCTTGGTCCAAACTCTACTTACCCTGTGATCATTAATGCTGAGTTAAATAGTGATGAAGTGAACCTGCTATTATCTGAACTTAGAAAGTATAGGAGAGCAGTTGGTTATTCACTATCCGACATTAAGGGAATTTTACCTAGTTTATGCAACCATAGGATCCATCTTGAAAACGAATCCTATTCCAGCATTGAACCACAGAGGAGGTTAAATCCCAATTTGAAAGAAGTAGTGAAAAAAGAAATTTTGAAACTGCTTGATGCTGGGGTCATCTACCCTATCTCTGATAGTACTTGGGTTTCTCCAGTACATTGCGTCCCTAAAAAGGGTGGAATGACTGTTGTCAAAAATAAAAAAGATGAACTGATCCCTACTAGAACTATAACTGGTCATAGAATGTGCATAGATTATAGGAAGTTGAATGCTGTATCTAGGAAAGATCATTTTCCTTTACCATTCATTGACCAAATGCTTGAACGTTTGGCTAATCATCCATATTATTGCTTTCTTGATGGATACAGTGGTTTCTTTCAAATACCAATTCACCCTAATGATCAAGAGAAAACCACTTTCACGTGTCCTTATGGAACTTTTGCCTATAAGAGAATGCCATTTGGTTTATGCAATGCTCCTGCAACATTTCAGAGGTGTATGACCTCTATATTTTCAGACTTAATCGAGGAGATGGTGGAGGTTTTCATGGATGATTTTTCGGTCTATGGCCCCTCTTTCTCCTCATGTTTGTTGAATCTTGGCAGGGTATTGACCAGGTGCGAGGAGACGAATCTTGTTCTCAATTGGGAAAAGTATCATTTCATGGTGAAGGAAAGCATAGTATTGGGTCACAAGATATCAGAGAACGGTATAGAGGTTGACAAAGGAAAAGTTGAAGTGATGATGCAGCTGCAGCCACCAAAAACGGTGAAGGACATCAGAAGCTTCCTTGGTCATGCTGGATTCTATAGAAGATTCATTAAAGACTTCTCCAAGATAGCCAGACCGTTAACCAGACTATTGTGCAAGGAAACCGAATTTGAATTCGATGATGACTGCCTAAAATCCTTTCAAACCATCAAGGACGCTTTGGTATCTGCTCCGGTTGTTCGAGCGCCTAATTGGGACTATCCGTTTGAAATCATGTGTGATGCATCAGATTACGCAGTAGGATCTGTTTTAGGCCAGAAAATAGACAAGAAGCTTCATGTCATATATTACGCCAGCCGAACGTTGGATGATGCTCAGGGAAGATATGCAACAACTGAGAAGGAGCTTCTAGCTGTTGTATTCGCATTTGAGAAGTTCAGAAGCTATTTGGTTGGATCAAAGGTTACTGTCTATACAGACCATGCAGCTTTGAGGCATCTGCATGCCAAGAAGGATACTAAACCAAGACTGTTAAGATGGATACTTTTATTGCAAGAGTTTGACATGGAGATAGTAGATAAGAAAGGCATTGAAAATGGCGCAGCGGACCATCTGTCAAGGATGAGAATTGAAGAACCCCTTCCGATAGACGATTCAATGCCAGAAGAACAGCTCATGGTTGTAGAGTTCTTCGGAAAAAGCTACAGTGGGAAAGAGTTCCACCAACTGAATGCTGTTGAAGGAGAATCTCCATGGTATGTTGATCACGTCAATTACTTGGCATGCGGAGTAGAGCCTCCCAACCTGACAAGTTATGAAAGGAAGAAGTTTCTCAGAGACATACACCATTACTACTGGGATGAGCCTTATCTTTACACTCTCTTTAAAGATAAGATCTACAGGAGATGTGTCTCAGAAGATGAAGTGGAAGGTATCCTGCTGCATTGCCATGGCTCAGCATATGGTGGTTACTTCGCGACGTTCAAGACAGTGTCCAAGATTCTTCAAGCAGGCTTTTGGTGGCCAACAATGTTTAAGGACGCTCAGGAGTTTGTTTCAAAGTGCGATTCATGCCAGAGAAAAGGCAACATCAGCAGAAGAAATGAGATGCCTCAGAATCCAATCTTGGAAGTTGAGATCTTTGATGTATGGGGGATTGATTTTATGGGTCCATTCCCATCTTCCTACGGTAATAAATATATACTGGTCGCCGTAGACTACGTATCAAAGTGGGTCGAAGCTATTGCTAGTCCTACCAACGATGCAAAAGTTGTGCTGAAGTTGTTCAAAACCATAATCTTCCCAAGATTTGGAGTTCCCAAGGTAGTAATCAGTGATGGCGGAAAGCATTTCATCAACAAGGTTTTTGAGAACCTCTTGAAGAAGCATGGGGTAAAGCACAAGGTCGCCACTCCTTATCATCCACAGACAAGCGAGCAGGTTGAGATCTCCAATAGGGAGATAAAAACAATTCTGGGAAAGACTGTTGGGATTACAAGGAAAGACTGGTCTGCAAAGCTAGATGATGCATTATGAGCTTACAAGACAGCCTTCAAGACCCCCATAGGTACAACTTCTTTCAATCTTCTCTATGGAAAATCATGTCATCTACCCGTTGAGCTCGAGTACAAAGCAATGTGGGCGATAAAACTTCTGAACTTTGACATAAAAACTGCTGAGGAGAAGCGATTGATCCAACTCAGTGACCTCGATGAGATCCGTCTAGAAGCTTATGAAAGTTCTAAAATCTACAAAGAGAGAACCAAGCTTTTCCATGACAAGAAGATCATCACTAAGGATTTCCAGGTTGGTGATCAGGTGCTGCTATTCAACTCTCGCTTGAAACTCTTTCCAGGAAAACTTAAATCCAGATGGTCTGGCCCCTTCTGCATCACTGAGGTCCGTCCTTATGGAGCAGTCACTCTAGCTGGTAAGAGTGGAGATTTTACAGTAAATGGTCAAAGGCTCAAGAAATACTTAGCAGACCAAATCCTTCCAGAGGTGACATCGGTTCATCTCCAGGAGCTTCTTGATGATTAAAGGAGTAAAGGAGTCAAGCTAATGACTTAAAACAAGCTCACTTGGGAGGAAGTCCCATGACTACCCTTGTAAATAATTTTTACTTTCTTGATATTTTTGATTTGTTTTAGTTGTGTTCGTGGTTTTCAGAGACAAGAGAACAACGCGGAGATAGAGTAAAAATTCAAAACTTTTACTCTACAGAAGACCTGGAGATCGAGTGTACAGCCCGTTGGAGTACAAAATTTTGAAAATCTTCTGTTGCACCTGGAGACCTTGCACTCGAGTACATTGGTCGAGTATGTGTGATGTTTAAAACCCAAAAAAAATATTTTTTACTCGACCAACAGAAGCTACAGAGACTTGCAGAAATTTCCTACAGTTTACAGTAGGTCTTCTGCAAAATTTTCTCAATCAACAGTGTGTGGACCACGCGCTGAGGATAAGCTGGAGAGAGAATCTAAAATTCAACCTAGACCACTCATTTTGAAGCGCTACTCGACCACTCCAAATCCACTCGACCTTCCTCTTTTCATTTCACCGCCGACACTCTAATCTCCCTACTCGACCACTGATAAATTCACTCGACCACCTCGCCGCCGTCACCAGCTCATCCCCTCCGTCACCCGACCAAACCACTTCACTCGATTCCTTCTGTATACTCGACCAATTCATCCACATCAACCGCCGTCTCTTTCATAAGAAATCGCTCGACCTCGCTTCCCGGTCTCGTAGAGGCACTCGACTGACGCCGTCCTAGCCGACTTCAAGAACTCACTCGACCTCGTGAAAGCACTCGACCCCTGCAAAATTCTACTCGGCTTCTTGTTCGTGAATTCAGTAGAGCCTTCCAACTTCAGAGAAGCTACTCGACCACTAGCTTTCACGATTCACTCTATCTCGACGATTCACTCGACCGGCTGTAGCATTCTAACTCGACCTCTGAGAATGCAAGTAGAGCTCTACCAAGGTATGACCTCTGATGAGTTGGATTGTGAAGGATTGGGATTCTTGCGATTTTCTGTGTATGGTCATGAGTATAGGTTATCAATCAAGCGATTGGAAGGATTGTTTGGCTTCCCCAGTGGAACGGGATCTAAGCCAAAGTATGAAAGAGAAGAGCTGAAAGACTTGTGGATCACCATTGGCAGCTCTGTACCGTTGAATGCTTCCAGGTCAAAGAGCAATCAGATACGCAGCCCTGTCATCAGGTACTTCCAGCGTTCTGTAGCCAACGTACTCTACTCCCGAGAGATTACAGGGACTGTCACTAACTCTGATATGGAGATGATCGCAATGGCCCTCAAGGGAACTCTTCGCCAAACTAAGAATGGTATGCCCCTCCAGGGTGAAATCAATGACACACCCCTAGTTGTACTTCTTCTGATCCATTTGTGTGGATACAAGAGTTGGGCTGTCACCAATAACCGCAAGAGAGCACGAGGCGCTCTGTGCATAGGTGGCGTTGTGACACCGATTCTGATAGCTTGTGGAGTCCCACTCATTTCTGCTGGACTCGAGCCGCGAGCAATGGATATCGAGCACCTACGTCACTGCGAATTCCTGGAGTTTGCAATGGTTGACGATCTCCACAGGTTCAGGTTTGAGCACTCTACAGACAGGAGAGCTAACATCCTTCTCCCTAGCCCTGAGGTCACACGGATAATAGAGGGAGATAACATTGATTTTAGGCCTGAGATTGGACGCCTCTACTATGAGAACGCTCCGCCATTGGATGAGGATGATCTTCTTGAAGAAGCTGCTTCGGATGGGATGGATGAAGATAGGGCAGTGAAGTTCGACACTAGCATGTATCACTTTGCTGAACATGTACCTCCAGCGAGGCAGAGCAAGAGCTTGACTGAAGCTCATAAGAATAACAGTAAATTGCAGAAGTGGTGCAAGAAGCAGGACAAGCTGATCGCCAAGTGTTTCAAGCTTCTGACAGATAAGCTCAGTTGCTCTTCCTCCACCACTGCTATTCCACAGGTACAGCCTCCTATGGAGATGCCATCGAGGAGAATTAATGCACCTGCGCACAGGCCTGAGCTTAGCGAGCAGAGAGTCCCACATGTCCAGGCTAGGCATTCGTCATTCGAATCCCGGGAACACAAGAGAAGAAGGAAGGCTACACTCACTCGATCGAGCAGCAGATCACGCCTCATTCACTCGAGGAGATCACTCGACCGCGGTGCTGGCCGCAGCAGAAGGAGAGAGGTCGAGTTTCCTCAGAGCGGTGCTGGCCGCCACAGAGCTGATGAGGTCGAGTACCCACCTGCTGGAGCTGATACAGAACAAGGAGGTTCGTCTATGGCCTGGGAGCAATCGCAGGCAGCCATTGACGAGCAACTGCGTTCAATCTTCGACTGAGGTAAGCGCCTCACTTCACCATTGTATTATACCGTATGTTGTGATTTGTTTCTTCATTTTTTGTTTCTGTGATTGGATTTGTCCTGGGTACTCTCTTCCAAGTTTATTCACACAGTGGACTGTGTGATTTAAGTTTGGGGGAGGGCTCAGGAAGTGTGTGTTGCATTGTGTATAATTTTGAGTCTGCATTCATCTAAGGCATAGAAAAAACCAAAACAATTTTGAAAAATTTCAGAAAATAATTTCATAAAAAAAAAAGAGTGTTCATGTAGTTGCATCACATTTAGGATCGAGTCTAGAGTGTTTCATTTAGGATTGTTGCATATGCATAGGGGATGATGATGAGATAGCCTTGTAAGCATTTTGATTCACTGGATAAACTCAGTGCCCTCATTGCTAGTTGTCTGTTGCGTAGTCAATGAATTTGAAATAAAACTGAACCATGCCTAGATTGCTCTACTCGACCACACTGTCATGATCTGATACCATTCCCTATCAATTTGAACCTGAATCTGATCTTTAATTATCATGTCTGCATCAAATTTGAACTCATGGATACCCTAAAATACTTGGATTCTCTTATTCATTTTGATCACTCTTGTTAATCCAAGTAGCTGACTCTCCTTATTAGAGCAGTTAACCCAAACCCAAACCTAGACTTTCTTTCAAGCCCTATATCACTTGTGAGTGTTTGTGAGGTCTTATTCCGATTAAGCTTGCTAGAAAGTGTTAGGTTCGTAACGACAGAGATAGTGTCTCATGTAGTTCTAGTTCGCGTTTTTCGGACTAGATAGGACTAGGTGGGTGCTTATACTTTGGGTTGGGATGTGTTTAAAAAAAAAAAAAAAAAAGGGGGTTGATTCACTGATGAGAAAAAGATAAAGGACTCTAGGTGAAGTAAGCTAAAGAAGCAGAAAAAGTCTAGTAAAGGTTTTGGGATTTGTAAAGAAAAGAAAGAGTTCTTGTTAGCTATTGAAGATGGGCAAAAGCCCTTGGTTGTAAAATGTTAAAAACAGGAACCTTAGTTGTTAAAGAAATTCAAATCCGCTAGATATATCAAAGTGTTGAAGCTTCGCCTAGAGTTAAGAGAAAAGAAAAGAATGATTAGAAAAAGGGCTTAAAAGATTCATGAATGCAAAGGGTAGAGTTTAGTTCTTGTATTGGGATTGGAGATGGGATTACCATTAGAGCTTCATTTGATGTACTCTAGGTAGATGGGATCTTATCTCTGTATGCATAGCTTGGGACTTACCTTTAGCATTCTACTAAAGCTTAATCATTTTTTTTTGAGAGATCCCCTGTTACTGAAGCCTATTCTGTAAGGGACCATCTTTGTCTCTTGACCTTTTACCTTAGCCAAATGAGTTCTTTGATGATGCATTGCTTGATTCACGTTCCAGAACTAATTAATGTTAAAGGGATTGGTAGATTTGAAAACTTGTATAGGTCGAGCATATGAGTCGGATTGATTGATTGATGAGGCATGGCTAACGTTTTAAGTAGAATTCGATCTTGCAGTTTAGAACTTTCAACTTGGACATTGATTTCATCTGGTCTATCTGGTGCTTTGGCTCTGAGTCCCCGCTTTCAAACCTCACTTCCAGCTTGTTCTTGATTGTTTGCTTGAGGGCAAGCAAAGACTAAGTTTGGGGGAGTTGATAGGTGTGTATTTTGCATGTTTTGAGCATCCATTTGTCATCATTTTAGCATCATATCGTCACTGTTTAATACCATTTCACATCATTTGTCATCACTTTGCATGTTTAGGATAGTTTTGCATGCATGTTGCATATTTGCGTTGATTTCAGGTGATTTGGAGCTGTTGACGAGCTATCTGGAAGAAGCAGACCTGATCACGACAAACCACTCGACCAAGAGGTCGAGCAGGAGCTTCAAGATCCCAAGAGACCACTCGACCCCCAGGTCGAGCAGAGGACATCACCACTTCACTACACCACTCGACCTCTTCACTCAACCTGGAAGTCGAGTATCTTCTGACACAACTCGATCACCTCACTCGACCCCCAGGTCGAGTGCCTTCACCTTCACTGCCAGACCACTACTCGACCTCATCACTCTACCTAGAGGTCGAGTACCACCATCACACCACTCGACTGCATACTCGATGACAAGCTTCAGAGCCTTCTTCATTCCGCACTCAACCAGACACTCGAGCACAAGGAAGAAAAGAAGACTCCAGCTATTCACTCGACCTCTCACTCGACCACCTGGGTCGAGTACAGTTCTTAATCCGTTCCAATACTTCGTCGTTTTGAGTATTAGGGTTTTGGGATATTTGGCTATAAGTAGCATGTACTTCTCATTTTCGCAAAAAAAAAAGAAAGGAAGAAGTTTTTAACCTAGTTTTATTTCCGCAGACCTTGTGTTCTAGACTTTTTGTAATCCGGATTTCTCTTTATCTATTCAGTATTCAGCTTTTGTTCTTGATTTTCGTTTACAGTTGTTCATTCTGTTTTCACACTACTGTTACACTGTTGTTATCATGTCTTCAACCTGTTCAACGTTTATGCTTTCTGTTATGATGTCTGAGTAGTGAATAGGTTTCTGAGGATGGGTTAAAGTAGTGTAGAATTCTCAGTATGCTAGGTGATTGAGTATTGGTTGATAGATCCCTTTTGGATTAGATGTTCTTAATGCCTATTGCTTTCTGATCAACTGGAATTTGAGCCCAGACATTTCCGCGCCCAAAAAGTGTTCGATGAAATGTCTGAACCACTAATTCCAGAGATTCGTGACCCTGTACCAAGGTATTGGTTGCAGGGAGCGTTTTGGCTTTAACTTGTTGATTCGTAATGCCTGTTAGGTTAGCTCTCGTCAATGGTGATTGAGTCTGGGACTAGGTTAGCTTGAGAGTCTCTGTTGCGGTGGCACTTTTATTTGGTTAATGAACTTGTTGTCTAGGGTTAATTATTGAGCATGTCAATCACCTGTAAACTGAGGAAACGAAACTACTCAATTATCCCATCCTTAGGAATTCTTTATCTGATTGATTTTATTGTTTACTCTACTGCTGTTACTGCATCCTGTCATCTGTTGCTTAGATTCTGCAATTCCTTACCGTTACTCGACCTGATACTCGACCACCCAGTTGTCTGGCAACAGACTGTGCAGTCGAGTATCCCTGTTTCATTTTCTGTCTGTTACTCGACCTGTCACTCGACCTCACCCAGTGCTCTGCAAAGAGCTGTGTTGATCGAGTGTTTTATTGTTTCTGTTTGATTTTCTGTTTTCTGCATGTTCACTTAGGACTGCTAGAACACACCAAAACCTGTTATTGCTTGGCTTGACTTAGTGACTTCTGATCACATCTTGATTGTTAGCATCACACCCATTTGGATTGACAACCTAAAATACTACAACGACATGATTGGTGTTTTAGGATAATTGACTAAAAACCTATTATCACCTAGGTCTTGAGCAATCTCCATAACCGTCTCTTCAGAAACATAAGACAGAGGAATTCCACGAATATGCACCCACAGATCTATTGTTGTGACAAAGTTATGAGCCGGAGCCACCTCCCATCTAGTAGCTGCACAAACCAATTGTTAAAGAGCCATGGCTCCCGTCTTTGCACCATCATTAGATCAATTTCATTCTGAAAAAGAAATTGAACATAAGTAGCATCAAGTACTCTACCATGAATTTGAGTCGTCAATCCCCTTGATCTTGGTAAGGCTACAACAACATAATTGAGGTTTTTGACTCTTGGATTCAGAGACCTAGCTATCATACTCAGTCTATTGGCAGCCTCCACCATCACATAAGCCTCATGAGGTATAAAGAGAGTTGGATCTTCTTGACCTAGTTCCAAGTTCTGAATCTCGTCCCACAACTCATCCGACATATTGAACCAAGAAGGAGGGAATCTAGAAGTTAATGGGATGGATAACAAAGGAAGAAACTGACACTATATATAAAGACTCTAAACGCAAGACATAACCGACTAACCTTAAGAAGAAAGAATATAAAAAGACCTCTAGTACTGAAATCTTATTATATAAAGTATGGTTTTCAAAGTTGCTAACTCATAAGATTGTGCCACGTGTCAAGTCAAACAATTAGATGTTTACATGTGTAATTCAAAATTTAACTTTTTTATTCTCTAAAAAAAATAGAAAATTTTAAAAAGTAAACAAATTTACATATACTAATTTATATGTTTATATATTTATAAACAATTAAGATTTATTCAACAAAAGGAAAATTAACAAATTTGTCTTTAACTCATGTAATCATAAGTGAAAATAGAACATTTTTTAAAAAATAGCTTAACTTATAGGATTTAACTTTTCAATTATTTTCATTTATTAATTTTAACTCATTTAATATTAATTTGCATGATGTAAAATTAACTTACGAGATTACGGCATATATAAAAAATATATTTTCAACAATGTTTGGTTTTTATTAATTATTAGCCCTAGGCGTTTGGGTATTCGGGTCGGGTATTTCGGGTTTGGGTTTTTGGGTTTAAAAGTTTAGGACGCGTTCGGATAATTTAAGATTTCGGGTCGGGTTCAGTTTGGCTTCGGGTTCGGGTTCGAGTTTATTTATATATTGAAATATCAAATTTTGTGTGTAAATTTATTAAA